GCCAAATTATCAACTGCTTAATCGGGGTAAAGAATCAAATAGACGCCGATGCTTTCAAAGCCGTAGTAAAAAACTCTGTATTGCTCAAACACCCTAGATTCTGCAGTCTCATGGTCAAACACTCATCAGGCCGCGAGTACTGGCGGAGGACCGATGTCGACGTTGACCGCCATGTCCTCGTATTCGATAAACCTCTCTCCGATGACCCGTCCATCTCCGACCAAGATTCTGTCAATGATTATCTTTCCGATCTCTCGGTTTCTTCTCCACTCAGTACCGATAAACCACTGTGGGAAATCCACCTGCTCATGGCGCACAATTGCTTGGTCTTCCGCTTGCACCATGCTCTCGGAGATGGAATTTCATTGATGTCGATGCTTCTCTCTTGTTGCCGGAGAGCTGATGATCCTTCGCAGCTTCCGACCATTGGTGGCGTAGGAACCTCATCGACGACGAGGCGGCGGTGGAGCTTGTGGACATTAATGAAAGTAGTGTGGTACACGTTGGTGTACGTTTTGGAGTTCATGTTGAGGGCTTTGTGGCTGAAGGACAAGAAAACCGTCATCAGCGGCGGCTCAGGGGTGGAGCTCTGGCCGCGGAAGCTGGCAACGGCGAAGTTTAGACTTGATGATATGAAGATCGTCAAAAAAGCTATTACCGATGCAGTAAGTCGCTTTAAACCAAGTCTTTTTAAACTGTTTAATCATTGGACCATGCTAATTGTACAATCGAGGTTGACAACCACTCACATAGGTGGATCCACCTCGGTTTATTTAACATTTTTAAATCGAGGTGGACCCCCTCCCATGTGAGTAGTACAAATAGCATTTTCCTTAACCATTTGATATAATAATGGATTTTGCTGTGTGTAAGTCTACATTCCCTCACACAGACAAATTGTGAGAGGGTGTACACTAGGGAGTTAATCTCAGCCCACAAATAGCAAAACCCTAGCACACAGTTGATAATTTTTTTTTTCTGTAAATGGGTAAAAAGAGGGGTTTTGCTGTCATACGACGCACTGTGCTCGGTAGTTGGACAATTTTAGGTACAATTTTATATTCACTGAACTTAATTCAACAACCCGTCGCCTCAATGTGTTATGAAAACAATGTTTTGCGTGTGAAATGGGATGATTCGATAACAATTGTGGGCATGTGTGGTCCAATTAAGTCCTTAAACGTCTGTTTCAGTTTCGTTATTTAAAAATTTATATTTTTTTAAATTCATTTTCAATTATATGTATTTTCTTAATAAAATAATTTGACATGTAAACTCAAAATTTTTTTTTCCAACTTTTTAACTCCACGTTTTCCAAAAAAATAGAGCTCAAACAAGGTTTTGATCAAATTGGATCCTGTTTGGTACACATTATTTTTTTTATTCTCATTCTTCTACTCATTTTCAACCACACATTCTTCAATAAAATAATATTTTCCATCACATCAATAACTTTTCCTTCATTTTTAACCACACATTCTCCATCAATTTATTATTCAATAAT